TAAATTTTATACACAATTTTATTCATTTTGTCCAGACAACATTTCAAATACCTTCTATGGAATTGTATTAGACTTAAATATATAACTATGTATTACATCACTATAGCTAAAAAGGAGCCTAAATACATATTGGAAACTGTATAGTTGCAGTCTGAGCTGCTTTCAATCCCCTAGGAACTGTAGCAGAAGAGTAACATCTATTCCTGGATCTACAGCTGTTCCTAAAGCCTTCATTAAGTGTGGAGAAAAAAAAACTGGCTCCTACAAAAAGAAAGGATGTGTGATGACCATAGGCATCTGAACCACACAAGCGAACAGAGTAACAAATGTCAGAGTTCCCTGAAGTGGTAACAGGCAGGAAGGAGGGGGAGTGACTAACTTTTGGCATCATGTTCATTTTAAGAAAATGACAATGCAGAGGAATAAAAAAGTATGTGAGATTTTATTAGCCTAGATTTATGTCTAAGATGGACCCATGTCTCACTCTTTTAAAGTGTTTTGAACAAGTACGATTGTTTCTAAGAGGCAAACTAATATATGGAAAGCAACGATGTAACAAAATCATAATGTTTAGAAGGCATGATGCTGTCTGCACCTTAAAAAACAGAACATCCAACAAATACTAAACAAAATGTTGAGAGTAGGATAAAGGTTTTGAGGTTTGTTTTCAACTTATATCCTTGTATTGGTGTTGTCTTTCAGTATGTCTTATGAAGAAAAAAAAGCATCACTTGGTTAGCCCAAAAGATACAGACCTAATCTCAAAAGATGGAATTTCCCCCTCTACCTCAAAGATTAAAACTGTTTCTTAGTTATCAAAAAGTTTAAGATAACGTCACCCTGAAATTACAAACAGGCAATAATTAACAAGCTTCACATATGAATTGGAGTTTCTGCACTGGAAAGATTTACTGTTTCTAACAATGAATCCATAAACAAATATAATGTAACTGAAAAAGAGAGTCAGTCAGTCACATCAGAATAGAACAATATCAACAATAAAAAGTTGTTGCTTTACCGATGAGGAGCTGTTGAAGTCAGAGAAGCAGATTGAGCCCCAAGCAGATGGAGTGCAAAGAAGGTATATATTGCAATCATAGAAAGCCCTCCAAATCCTCACTTTCTCAATATGGAAGGGGATTACCGAACAAGCCAATGAGCTGACAAGGTCATGAAATACAGTACACTGTCAGTTGCCCCTTCCTGGGCTGCCTGCATTATAAATAACCCACCCTTTAAGATTGTTATCCTTTTTTTTACACATGCCATCAAAACTCAAGGAACTGATGAAATCATTTATTTGTAATCTTAAGTTAACATATATGTACTTTATATCCTAAAATATGTTTACTCATATGATGTAAAGCAAAAACAGATCAAATGTTTGAAGGTCTGCGTTTTCTCTTCTTCTCTTTCTCTTCTGGTTGAACAATAAGATAAAACAAAAGTCAGCTACAAGCTGAATAGACTGCCATTAGATTGAAGGGGAGAAAGTCAAAGGGCAGACAGAAACACTGTGAGGTATTCATCAGGATAAAAATAGGAATTCATTCACAAAATAGCTGAAATTGCACAGAAAGATGCGTACAGATGCAGCAGTCATTCAAGCGTGGTATTAGAGCAGGACAGAGGTACAAGATTACATGTAAACATTCTATATACGGTAGAAGAAATATAAGTTAAAAGATTGATCAGTGTCCTTCAAGGGTCACCGGAGGAGTAATATGGGATCAGTTCTGCAGCCGATTCTCTGTAATATATATATATATATATATATATATATATATATATATATATATATATATATATATATATATATATATATATATATATATATGCTTAATAAGTATATAAGACAGCAAAATGTTTATTTCCACCATTGTGTTGATCATATTTAGCACCTGCATCATTAGTTGGTTAGTCTTTTGTAGAGACTGTAATCTCTGCTGTTATCATCTAATGGCGTAACAGCATTAGAGCAACAAGCTGACAAAGAAGGGCGGTTCTGTTCTAGGAACTCCTCCTGTGGAGATTTTTCACAAAGAATTCTTAAGAAAGTGAAGAACATTATGGAAAGCTTCACCATCCTCTTCAGAGGATTTTTTTAAACGACAGAGTGTCTTAAGTAAGAGGGTCCTCCATATTCGGTGCAGCACAGACAGCTGCAGAAGATTCTTCCTGCCTTCAGCTATCATCTCCTATAACGTCTTATTGAAAAACAGGAACATTTATTTTCTCTTTGGGAATATTAAAGTAATTGTTATTGAAATGAATTGAACCCCTTAGACAGATTGTATCTCTGTTTTTTGACCAAAGTCTTTGAAATAGCCGCTATTTTGTCACTTTATCTGAATTTATTCATATTTGTGTCATGTTGTAATGTAACAAAACTTTAAGGTTATTTCTGACCAGAACATTAAATCCAAATTAAACATGTTTGTTAAATGATGTTCTTTAATCCATAGGAAAAAATAATAATAATATTGAGGAGAGATGGTAAGAAACTTGTCAGTGCATTTGTTTTTTCAAGGTTGAACTATATTTTTTTTCTATCAGGAAGTCCATAAAGTGTAGTTAAAAGTCTTCAGCTGATCAAAAACTATGCTGTAGCCAGAAATCTGATGGAAATTTAAGAGAGAAATCATATTTCTCCTTTTTTAGCTTCCCTTCATTTGCTTTCTCTTAAATCAAGAGTGGAACTTCAAGTCATACTTCTTACAAAATAAACAAACTCCATCTTATATCAGAATTTGGACTGTCTCTTGTGAGGACTGTAATTCTATTCAAATCTGCTTATTTATATAGCCTCAATTCACAACAAGCCATCTCAAGGCACTTTACAGAGACAATTCAACTAGATCATACAGTCAGAGAAAGTTAAAAGTTTCTATCATGGACTTAGTCAAACGGCAGCCTCACACTTTCATCTACTCCACCAGCAATCTATAAGGACATAAAAATGAACAACTATAAATATATACATTTAACCATTTACTATTATGAAATATGTGTATACATATATTTCTACCACTACATTGTATGAGTATTATGAAACACAAAGAAGAAACTATGACAGATAAAGGTTTTAATAAACAAATCTAGCTTATCCAGTCATGGAGCAATTTAAAATGATTAACTGTGCTACACTGAAAGAAACTGAAATAAAACTATTTTTAGAAAGAGAAAAAAAAGCTCATCTTTTTATCTTGCTTTCACATTACTGCTGTTCACGGTTATGTGGTGCTGAAAAAGCAGACTACATTTCACTGCCTTTCTCTTTTTCTAGTAATTTATCAGAAACGATGATCACTGATAAAACTAAGTTATTTATAAAAGTAAAAGTTTTTGACAATAAAAACACTGGAACGTCTTGAGCGCAGGAGTGGGCACAGTTTGGCACAGAAATAAACTTGATGTAACTCTGGTTTTTTACACAATGCTTTTCAACTTTCTGGTGAGAACTTTAAACAAAATCATAGCTGTTTTAATATAAGGTTGAAAATGTGATAACAGGTGAGCAAAGTAACAAGAGTGAGAAAGAAGGAAGCATTATAATAGTTGCAGCATCCGTACATTTTCTGACACTCTTTATCCCAGTCGGGGTTGTAAGAGGTGCTGGTGCCTATCTCCAGCTGTCTACAGGCGAGAGGCGGGGTACATCCTGGGCCGATCGCCAGTCCATCGCAGGGCAACACAGAGACAAACAGGACAAACAACCATTCACAGACACACTCACACACCTAAGGAGAATTTAGAGAAGCCAATTAACCTAACAGTCATGTTTTTGGACTGTAGGAGGAAGCCGGAGTACCCGGTGAAAACCCACGCATGCTCAGGGAAAACATGCAAACTCCATGCAGAATCGAGACCTCAACTTTCTTGAGCAGACCATAGTTGCAACAACTAAGCAAAAAGTAGGCAACCCAGAACAAGCAGCCATGTAGGGTTTATAGACTTGAAAAAAGAAGATATCTAGAAGTTGTAGGGGCATGCAAGAAGTCAAATGCTCATCTTTGGAATAATGTCTTTGCTCAATAAGGTAACACTTGCTTTACAACCTTCTACACTGGTGCTAGGCAACAAAGCAAAGCCAGGTATGGATTGTCAAAGGTTGTGGGCTCCATTAAACATTTAGCTTAGCAATGTTAAGCTCTATGGTGTCATGTGGAAGAGAAGAGAATTTATCCTAACATTTATTTTTAAAAAGGGCATAAGATGGCCATGCTTTTCAGAAGTGCTTATACATCCATGCAGGGGAACACGGATCCTCTTATTAAGAACACAATGTGCAATGAAACTTTAAGAGGAATAGCTAATGCTAGCCAAGGCCTCCCAGTTGCAGTTTCCACTATAAAAAGTCAACTAAGTTCAGGATTTTGAGAAATTCTTTGGGATGTAGGAGGGTATGTTAAAAAATTGCTCTTGATCTACTTTATAGACATTTCCTATTTTCAGCTCTGCCTTGAATAATGTCTGACACATATTCTACACTGTGGAGCACACTATGTGAATTCTGTTTCTTCTGATATCATCTGTTTTATTTAATTTACATTTGCCCTGAAATTGAATGGTTGACGGTTCAAGCCCCGGCGTCGGCTTTCAGTGTCGCTGTGTCCTTGGGCAAGAAACTTCACCTGGACCCCTACTGGCTTCTGTCAGTGAGCCCCCACAATGTAGTTTACCGCCATCAGTGTGTGAGTGAATGGGTGAATGACTAAATGTAGTGTAAAGCACTTTGGTCAAGTCCTAATTTGAAAAAGTGTGATATAAGTACAGGCCATTTACCATTCACATTTAAGGTAAGATGATTGTTTGCAGTTCCATCTACTTTGTTTTTTTAGCTTCTTGTTAATCTCTGATATGACTTAAGACTGCAGAGTCCACCGATCGATTCTCCAGATGATAAGAGTTTCTTGTTCTTCAACCCTGTAATGCAATACTTAAAATACTTAATGTCTCTGAACCGGATCATTCATGATCTTTCAATAGTATAACAATGTAAGGATTGCTTTTTTTATCGCTTATTACAGAGTACAGATAGACTTGTGGGCGATGTGCACCTCTTCTGATCCCATTCTTGTCAGTGCTTGGCAGTGCCTGGGTGTACCGGTGCTGTGTGACAAAACTTCACACTGGAGGACACACATAAGATTGCCTGTGTATTAATCACTGTCAGACAGAGGTAACATGAGCCTACTTTGATTCCTAGAACTAAAAAAAAATTGTAAAATATGCAAGATGGCCGTGTAACCAGTTTATGATAAACCTCAACAGGTGGCTGTGTTTTGACTTTTGGCATGACTTAGACAGCCTTAACCAAGGCTTCCTTTGTGTTTAAAGTTGTTATTGATTTTATTAGAAATGTAATTTTCTTCTGTTTTGACGTTTCTGTTGAAAATTAAAAAAAAAAAAACCTAAGAAAACAACATCAGCCCAGGTGGTAATACATCTTTAAAATGCACAGTCCTGGATGTCAGCCTCTCATCAACAGCCTAACAGATAAACAGAAACCTGATCTAATCCAGTAATGCAGCAGTCATTTCCCTTTGAATAGACATTTCTTATTGGTGTTCTTTCTAAGGAAATGCTGAAAGCCAAAGGTTCGAGACAAGGAAAAAGAGTCATATTTTAATCCACTTCTCTCTTGTAAACTGCTAAAATCTGATAAATACACGTGAAAAAAGGATACATTCATTTGCTTCCACTTCATCCGTCAGGTTCGCTGTAAGGCAGCTGCACATCTCCAGCAATCCATGGGTTAAAAAGAGCCACTCATGAAAATTTCAATAAAAACAGTTCAACTCCAAATAAACAGAACACGGTTTATCTTTTCAATATATTCTTCAATGTTGTCATTTTTTACTGCCTTGCTTTTACATATGAAGCCCCTTTTCTATGACAACTATTTTTATTACCTTTTCATGGCATTTCTGTTAATTGTCTGCATGAGTGGCAATGAAGCCGATTCATTATTTGCATGAGGTCAGCTGTTAGCTCATCCAAGCTCCACAGTGAAGCCTCTCACTAGGAAACAATTTTAAAATGTTAAATGCATTATGTGACTTCTCTTTTAAAAGTATGTCTCAAAAAAATCTATTTTTATGAAGTTAAGAAAATGCTAGTACGTGCAAGCTGTATGCATTTACTTTGCACAACTCAACTGACTTAATAATTTTGAGTAGCCTCAACTTAATAGAGATGGTAAGCTCTTTTTGGGGAACCAATGAATAGTTTAAAGAGGATCTAAAAATTAGTAAAGGTTTCTTAAAATAAGTGTGTTTACCCACAATATGTAAATAAGAGGATTTGCCAGTGGAAATAGTATTTTTACCCTTAAAATAAGATATTAGATCTTATTCACTTGAAATAAGAGACTTCTGTTGTTTTTATCTAAATATAAGCTCTTATTCCATTGGCAAGTTTCTCACTTCCCTGCTTAATTTAAGAAAAATGCACATCTTTTATGAAAATTACTTACTTAGATTTACATTTTTTGGAGTGTTTCTAATTAAAAAATATGCAACAGTGGTCATTTTTTAAGTACCGGTATTGTTAACATTTTCTTTTCTTTTTTTTTTTCGGGAAATGTAGCAAAGAAACATCAAAGTCACTTTTTGAATGAACATGCAGTATGATCCTACCTGCTCTTCTACCATCTCTGGAAAGAATCCCTCAATGACGATGCGGCCAGTTTTTCTTCCCTTCTTCTCATAAACTTGTAAAACAGTTGTCTTCTTACAACTTTCTGCCATTTTCAAAATGTACAATCAGAGCAGTGGAGCCACAATGAATGGCTACCCATGTGCTGCAAGAGGGAAAAAGTACATTATAAAGCATGTGGGACAACCAATAGATAAGATGAAGCCCTGGAACTCAAAGAAGATTGTCCACTATACCTTTAACTAGCAAAGATTAAAGACTTTTTACTTGCAGCTGTAAGCATGAGGTCTTAAAATGCACAACTTAATTTTTACTTGTATTATTATTTTTACTGATATTATGGGAGTTTCTTCCAGTGATGACGAAGATGTGGATGGCTATAGGCAGGTAGGATTCCCTGCATTCTGTGTTCCTCCTTTGCCATTGCTGCAGCATCCTGAGGTGAGATTGACTGCATAAAGTGACCAGCAGACTGCAAGTACAGCATTCCTACACCTTTTTATTGATCTCAAGGGATTTTAAATTTAATCGTTTTTCTATTCTCCCACCAGACTCATTGCATGCTAAAACAGAGGAGGCATACAGTACAGCTCACCGCCACTCCCTTTACTGTTTGGCCTTGTTCATATCTAAGTTTTGTAAACAGAGAATTAGCTTTGACTCACAGTGAAGAAATGGTGTGGATAGACTAAGAGGTTCTGGGAGATTGCTTCAGTTCTTACGGGAGGGAAATGCCCTTGTGTTTCTCAAGGAGAGGACATTGAAGGCATCACAGAATGCATCTAAGATCACATTAACGTCTGTGTAGAAAACACTGGGCTCCTCATGAGGGTAAGTTGCTTCTCCAAGAGTCTAAAATAACTGCAGCTAAAACTTAAACTCAAGGTTTTAGATGAATAGAATTCAACTTTATTGTTATTATATTTTCCCAAGTACAAAGAAACAAAATTCACTCTCTGCATTTAACCTTGAGGAGCAGTGTTGCCATTGTGCAGCACGCAGGGAGCAGTGTAGGGTTAAAGGTTTTGCTCAGGGAGCCAGAGTGGCAGTTTGTGGGAGTGGGGCTTGAACTGAGAACCTCTGGAATCCAAGCACAATGCTCTAACCACTAGGCCACCCCTCACCCAGATGATTAAGGGCGGCCAAGTCTACCATCCTTCAATTCCCCTCATCTGTAAAGTTTGTTAATTACTGCACAAGAAGAGAGAACATTTTTCCTAATCTAACAGCTGTGAGATCCAAATCATATGTTCCCCATCTTGGGGATTCTTGCTGCTTTTCGTCAACACGACTCCTTGCTAGACATTTTTTCTCCCAGCATGCCCGAAAAAGGTCATGCAATTGGTCAGGATTTGGAATGGGCGTTGATATGTAGGAAAGGTAAAGGAGATTAGCACCTCTTGGTTTTGAGTTGGAAATCCTCCAACTTTCATTACAGGTGTGGAAGTCTTTACAGCGATATGATGTGTGATGGGAAGTTTAAGGAGCAGCTCAGAGGGCGGTGAGAAAAAAATGAAAATTTTTTAAAGTAGCATAAAGCATTTAGCTCCCATCATCATCAATGCATAAAATACCTCCTTCGTTTTTTTGCAGGTGAAACGAACGTTACGTTGATTCAGACTTTTTCTGAGTCTGGCAGCTGATCTTCTTGTAAATAAAGGTTAACAAGCTTAACAAATGCCTACCTTTCTTCTTAGAACTTCCCCTCTGTTTAAGCATGTGTGTTTGTGATCCTGTCCAGGGTGCACCTCATCTTCATTGACCCATAGAACCCTTTGTAAGGCACCACCTCCCCGCTACAGACAACTGGTAGAAGGCAGATATATGTTCATGCCACTGCTGAAGATTTTTATTTTTGGTTGCCTATGAAAATTAACAATTATTAATTTATATTATTAATTTACATTTTTCTGATGTCATCGCAGTCATAATAAACATTAAGGTATAAACATAGTGAAGACGTAAACTGTAGATCCATAGATCTAGCTCTAACAATCTTCAATAGCATGGTGGTATTTACCAAAACTCCAGCTTCCCATTTAATAGTAATGCAGCACAGCTGTTTTACACCCCAAACAGTGACATCAAACGCCTTCAGAAAATACCATAATCTCTAAACCATAGGTTTCACCCAGTCTACAGAAATTAACATTTTTCCAGTCACCAATAAGCTTCCAAGTACCTTATGTTTTATATCTATGCCTCATTCAAACCCAATCGTTTTCTATAGTATTGACGAATAACTGCTGATGGTTATGCTTAAGCTCCTTCTTACAAGTAAAGAGGTTCAACAAAGGTTCATCAGCAAGTAAAAATAAGTGCTGGTTGATTTTAAAGGGTCAGGGACACCAGGGAGCAGAGGTGATGAAAACTGAGGCTGCAGCAGGTGGGAGGCGATGGAGTTTATTTGAAGGTGGGGTCATTGGAGCCACTTAAGAGATATTTGCAGCAGCTACTAAAAAATAAAAAGATGAGACCATTTTTTCCCATACCAAATAGAATTATTACAGGAAAAAAAAAGAGCTGTATTCTTATCTGTTACAAATCGAAGCCATTATTTATTTTATAACTGAATAAGTTTCAAGAAACATGTCAGCGAACGAAAAACAACTTTTTATTGTTTTATCAATACAAATCAAAAACAACTTAAGAAAACAAAAAAGTTTCACATTTTAAATCAGTATATTGACTGAAAACATTGTGGCCCAATAAGAAATCACCTGAGATAACAAATTAGCTTTTGACTGATGTGGATAATTTACAACAAGAAGACACAAACAGCACTGCTGATTATAGAGCATTTCAACATCTGCTCTTTTTCTTGGCTTTCACAACCAATAATTAGAACGGCAAAAAACCACATCACTCAAATGTAACATGCATACCTTGAATCAATATAAAACATCCAGAAATATTGTTTCTGTACAGGATATCAAGAGCTTAGATTTATACAAATTGTGCAAATGCCACCACATGGGGTCAAAACACGCTGAATAAAGGCGCACTTCCACTCACTCCATTAGTTTCACATGACAGATGTACTGAGAGGGATTCGGTTTGATAGGTACCACATTGAGCAAATACAAAATATTAGGACTCCAGCACAATCAAATAAAGCAAATCACAAAATATTTTGCTTTCATGTAAGATGCAGCCATCATGGTTCAGTCTTAAATTCATTACACAGGTGTAACGTACACCTGTAATTAAAAGGATTAACCAAAAAAAACAAAAACAAAAAAACCACACACAAGTTGTAATGATTCATAAACTCCGACCAAAATGGACTGTAACTCAGAAATATCACAAAAAAATTAACAAAAAAGCTTATTTTTTGTTGTTCAGAGCAAATACAATCTTCCCTTGATTAATGCCAGGAACATACGTTCATACCAAATAATGTCCAAAGCTAACAGACGGGCATTATTATAGAGGTATATTTCATTTTAAAATATTTTTATTTATTTAACTAAGGATTTCCTTGTCATTTCAAACCAGAATGGCAATTAATGCTGCAAATATGACCAATTCATCTGTGTTTAGCCTTCTTCTCGACAACGCAAACCCGTCACTGTCAGCCATATCTCTCTCAAACAGGAAGTCAGTTCCACATGATGATGTCATATCTGAAGCTAAACAGTCTGATGAGTTATTCATACAACACTGTTACAGTTCAATTCTTGATTTATAAAAAAAAACAAACATTGTTTTACCCAGTGTCACCAGATGTGTGCTCAGTGATTGCAAATGAACAGCGAAAAGTAGGAAGCACTCATATAGAACCCCAGAGCTCAACAGCAGTCACTTATAGCTTACATCTTTTTTTAAGATAAATGTTAGATTTTTATTCCGAAGATTGAAAAAAAGGGTTTATAATGAGTGAACAGATTTGGGTTGATAAGAATGCTGTTTATTGTTCAAGCTCAATATCTTTCCTTATCTGCTTTAAATGATTCGATGGATTTTGTTATTGTTTTTAGTTTGATCCACTATCAGTGAAATAAATCATGTGTTTCATGGGATTATAGGACTATATTATTGCTTATATTTGTTAGGGCTTTATTTTATTTTTTTTACGTATTTAAATTTCACATACGTATCTTCCTTAAGTATTGATTTCAAACCGTTTACCGGTGGTTAAATTTAAATTAAAGCAATTAGTCCAAATGACTGCTTCCATTTAAAGCAGAGCTTTAACAAAAACATGGAGTAAATTTATATAGCATTTTCTTAAAAATTCTGACCTGTCAAAGAGACTTTCACAGGCCACAGTCACACCAGTTATCTTGCACACATACATACATACACTAGTATGCTGACTGGGGGTTGAGTGTAGGGCTGCAACTAATGATTATTTTTCGGATCAATTAAGCTGTTGATTATTTTCCTGATTAATCGATAAATAATCAGATAGCCAAAGGTTCTTTAAAGAAGATTTTTGCAAAGTTAAACCAGATTAAACTAAAACTTTTCCACTGAAGGAGCTCTGGATAGAGCAGTTGTATAACTTTTTTCATCTTAAATGCAAAATAGATATATATTTTTTTCAAACTTGGCATAATTACTGCTCTAAGTGGGTTTCCCTGTCCGCTAAAGGCATGTCTCTACATGATAAATCGATTACTAAATTAGTTGATGATTATTTCAATAATTGATTAATCACGATTAATCTGATTGTTTCAGCCCTGGCTGAGTGCCTTGCCCAGAGGCACATCAACAACAGAAGGCTGGAATCTAACCTACATAATAACTAGTCATGACATCAAATAGAGGCCCAGAGAGTTTAAGAACTAATTTCAGCCTGAAAAACCTGCACTATGTATCAAGAATAACTGCAGTTAAGCTAATCAGATCTTAATGTAAACCTTTGGTGTTTGTGTGAAAGTAAAAATATTTTGTTAGTTTAGGCAAGATCATAAATGTCTGATGCTTTTGGGACACAAAGTAAAACTTATTTTTTTCCTAAACCACCGGGGGAGGAAGGGTATTCACAGAAAAAACCCTGCAGTACCTCCGTGAAACACTAGGAGGCAGCAGCACCCATATCGGAGACCTCTGCTTTAAACCAAGAAGGGAAAGCTCAGGAAACAGTTTACTGACTCACATTACACCTTAATTGGATTTTAGATCATTAGATCATCATTCAGTTCACAGACATTGAAATATCCTGCCCCTTCAAGTTTTTCACATCATGTTGCAACAATTAAATTCACATTCTCAATTTAAAGTATCTGTGATGCTAAATCAGCAGACCAGTTCATAACTCAAGCAATGACTCACTCTGAGAAAACTATCATGCTTATTCGCTCCAGGACGTTGGAAGGAACTGGGATGGATTTTAATGGCAGGTATGATCAGTCATTGTTGGCTGGTCCACAACAGAAACAGTCAGAATGCATGTGAATAGGTCAGCAGAAAAAAGAGGTAAAGGTCAGTTCTTCCCAAACATCACCAGTCGCAGATAAGAGAATTTCCTGTCCAGGCTTTTTCATTTTCCTTTAACTATAGTTAAAAAAACTGTTAAAACAAAAGGTTGCATGCCTACTTTGATAAACCAAGATTCATAATCTGGTGCACTCTAAGAGGAGAATGCAGCTCAATCAGGTTTATCTAATACAAATATAAAAGTTAAACCACTGTAAGAAAAAAAAGACTTAGGTAAATTAAGTTAATTACCTGTTGTCAATTAAAGCAATTCTCTAGCCTGAAGCTGCATTCCCCTTTTAGATTTGAGAAAAAATGGCAAGCCAATAAATAATGACTGAGCAGTTTAGCAACTGAGTGAGAGGGATGAAAGGGCAAAAATATTTTGGATCCTAATGACGGTTTTAACAAGTGAAAGTAATATATGTTAAAATATGTATTAGAATAATACAACCAAATTTTTTTGCCATGGCGTCAATAACATCCTGCAAATTAGTAGCACTGGTTGATTAGAGTGGATTTTCTTCAATTGTTGTCAGTAAAAATGAGGTTTTGTAAATGGAAATTTAAAAAAAAAAAAAGCAATCCAGAAATAAAACTTTGGAAAACTTCTTAAGCAAAATGAACATTATGATTTGTTTTGTTGTTCTTATAAAAATAAAAAAAAATGAAGTACATAGTTGACTACCTTACAGCACACAGATCGTCTACTGCTAATCTGTGTCCTGCTGAGATTATCTACATCAATTAAAAATAAAATAACCTCTACATTTGATAGATCTGGAAATCAAATTTTTAAGGACAAGATAAATTCAAACTACATGCACAGAAGTGTTTTAGTGAACAAACATGGAACTGCCTAATTAAGTTGAGACTTTGCTATAACAAAGTTTAGCTTTTAACAAGGAGGACAGGATTTTAGAGAGGTTTTAATGCTAAAATGATCTAACAATATGTCTGTGAATTGGAGATTTTGGGTCAAAAAAAAAAGAAAAGGGGGAAGCCAATGATCTCCGTATAGATAAATCAGTTTGGAATGTTTGTAGATTATGATTAAAGCACAGTTATAGACAAAAAAAATTTTTTTTCATCTTCTACATTTAGACATCAAAAAAACTGCAAAAGATGTGCATTTCCCTGTGGATTACTGCAGTATACTCAAAAGTATGTTTGATCCTTGAAGCTGGTTGGAAATCAAATATTTTCAAGTATTATACCCTGAAGGTGAGATAATACACAATATTAGGTTCATGAGGACATGGGACAATTTTTAACACGCTTCAGAGAACTAAAAAGTTTATTTTAGTTCTTAGTTTATTTATAACAAAAAAGTCCAATCTACCATTCTTAAATCATTTTCTTCATATTTTCAATAGTTTTGAAAAATGCAAGTAGTTAAAAAAAAAAAGCAGTACAATGTCCCTTATTCATTTGACGAAAAACTGGCATAGTTGAGATTATAGTGTTGAAAGGAACATCAGTCCTGGGATTAGAGTAAAGAGAGGCAGATCTAAGAGAGCACTGAGGAGTGGATCAATGTGTATCATCTCTACTGTCAGCAGCAGCCTGAAATGTGAGAAATGTGCTGCAATCAAATGCCAGCAGATGGCAGCAGAGAACCTCGCTTACAAAGGTCTACTCTGAATCCAAAAACAATTCCTCCTATGTTCCTCCTATGTTACTTTTTCCAATTCTTTAAACATGTTTAAAAGTCTCCAACTAATATTTAATTCACTCTTTGCTACATTCTCTGTACAATTTTCCACGTTTGTTTTTAAAAATATAATGACCAAACTAGAGGTGCCCTTTTTAACCCCCCCAGCAGCTGAAACTATCAAATTGTGTGATTATTAAAGATTATATGTATTTGAAACTAAAACATTTATTTTAATTTATTTTATTCATAATTTTACTGTTTTTGTGGATCAGCCATTAAAATGTTCCTAGTCTCCCTAAAAGTCCTCCTCACTACTGCGAACATTTAAGCAGCTGTCTTAAGGTTTAGGGTGTTTTGTGAATAAAAACTGTTAAAATCTTAGAATCTGAGGAATCTTAAATATTGTTCCGAAATGATACCACTATTTGTCTTAAGAGTCTTCGTGAGAACGGTCCTGATGTGAAGTCGCTTTTGTTTACAAACAAAAACTGGATGATTTTCTCAGTACATAACAGGGTTGCTACGCTCTGTTTTTCTTGCCACTTACACTGCGTAACCCACCAATTAAACAGATTTGAGTTAAAGGTATAGTGGAGGATTTCCGCAAATTTTTGAAAAGACCCGCCCTCTCCACTTTAAAAAAAAGCACAGTCACATCCCTGTACCCGCTCCCGAGAGGGAACGCCTATTAAACTCGTACAAGAGCCTATTTCTCCTTGTGCATGCTCTGTTTAAAAGTTGCTGTTTGCATCGCTCATGCAAACTTACTTTCCAAAATAAGATTTGCAGTTTTTCCACTATGTCAGATTCACCACCGGTAAGGGAAAATGGGGACGAGCACGTAGGACGGCCTTACGTGAACATATCACGAAAATGACTGACATTTACGAGGACCACTTATTTTGATGATCCCCCCGGAGAGAGATCATCCTCCATTATACCTCCAAACAATTTACATGACATCCATAACTACTAAGTCCAGCTATAAAATAAACCAGTCAGGACAACATGACCATGGCAAGAACTACTCTGACTCTAGTTGCTCAAAAAAGCTTTATGGAGTGGATTTTATTCCATTATTGTTGCAGGCAAGAGCACGTATATAAATGAGTATTAAAAAAGAAAAAGAAAAAAAATTGAAAAGAATATTCTTACTGAAAAAAGGTTTGGAGAGTAAACCTGCAGTTTAGTCAGATTTTACTTTTCAAATTTTTTTTTTATTTTTTTTTACTTTAATTTACAAAACCAATTTTTTTACTTGCAACAACTGATCAAAATTAATTCCATTATTTTTTTAATCAATGTAGTATGTTAACTAGAACAAATAGAACACATTGGACGTAGAATTTGTGATAATCCTCCGTAACAACAGACCATATGTTCCCTTTACTAAGCTCTTAAAACTGATGGACCAAAACTTAAATCTTAAAAGACAGAGCTGGCTGACAGAAACAAGTCACCTGGAGTGGAGTGTTTGCCAAAAAACTCTAATAGAAATGAACTCAAATGGCTCAACCGCTAGCACACCTAAAATTCATCTCCTTAGATGCAAAAGTGAATCAAAATCTGCCCTAATTTACTTTGTTGCATGGAGTGCAAATAACTCAGCCTTGACTTCCACCCTGGAAACCATTTGTGATCATCGCTGAAGAGAAACCTCTATGCTGCATCACTTTGACATCAACACTCTCCTGAGATAGCCCACTGAAAAGTTGCCCTGATATATAAAAACAGCACAAAAGTACAAACAGAACTCAAACAGTAAACAAAAACCCCTTAAAGCGACAACAACAAAAACACGGCCCAGTCAGGAACCTGTGTACGCCGCACAGGCTTAAGTTTGTTCTCTTCGAAAAAGAGAAGAATTCAGAACTAAATTTAAAGATTTAAACATTAGAAAAGGAAAAAATGAACGAAAAGAAGATCTTAGTGGAAATAAAAAATAAAGGTACAGCAAATCACACTGGGACTTCTCATGTCCAGGCCACTTTTCGGGAGAGGGCCTGTTTGAAGCACTCCGGGTCAACTTCACCACCGGGCCACAGCGATCTCTCCAGGCTCACTAGAACGTTTTGGTGACACTCTCTGATGTTGACTGGGTATTTGGCCCTCAGCAGCTCATAAGCAGCAATTAACCTCATGTTCTGCTTCACCATCAGGTATTGTATGATACACATGGGTGCCAGAGAGAACCCGTCCCGACAGTGGACTAGGACACGCTTCCTCTTCTCCATGGATGCATTTATGCACTCGTTGATGTCCTCGAAGCAGCAGTGGTTCAGAGCCGGATGGTCATCCAGAGAGTTGGGCATGTCTCCGATGTCCACCTTGAGGCGGGACCAGCTGTGCCGGGAACCACGCGAGCAGGTGCAGGGGATGAGGCAGAGGGAGGGGGCTTGCTCTCCGGGCATACTGCTCATGTCAATGATGCTGTCGATGTTGTTGCGGCACAGCGTGCGCCCATTATACGCTGCATTCAGGTTGCCCACATAAATGTAGTCCGTCACTCTGGAAATGACCGGTTCGGAGTACTGGAAGTGTTCAGGGCCGCTTCGTTTGGGCTCCAGTGCATCAGGGGCCCTGGCCCCAGCTGGTCCTGTGGCAGCTCTCCTGCTGTAGTTGCGCAGCTTCTTGGATCCTGTGCGGGACGGGGGATTGGAGTCCGACTCTGAGCTGCTATTCCACGGTGGAGAGAACAGAGAGAAGCGGCTGGAGGATTTACCCTTGTTGATGATCTCCGCAGGGCTGGGCAGGCTGGAGCTGGTGGTAGATGCCGAGGCGCAGAACATAGACGCTCGCTCCAGAGATCCTGTGCTGCTGGCAGCTCCTGCACTGTGGGCCAGTTCCATCTGTAATCACACAGACAAAGCTGACATGAGGAATTCTCCCAAACAGATTGACAATGTCCTTCTGACATCTTCACAAACAGCCTTCAGGGATCATTCATATTAAAAAAAGGCTGAAAATAGAGTATAAATTTAAACTTCAAATTTCCTTACGATTGAAACAATATAAGATAAAGGTTTAAAAATTGGACTAAACAACCAACTTTCAGTGTGGATGGTAAAAATCCCCTCTACCTGAGCTTTGAGGTTGTTCTTCCACTCCTGAGTCTCCAGAGCCTTGAAGCGGCCGCTGCTGTCAGAAGAGACCGACGCACAGAGAGGCCGGTGGGCTCTGAGAGGTAGCTGGGGGGTGAGGGCCACGGGGACATGCCTCGCACCAGTATGTTCGCTCCGACTCATTGTAAGATCAGAACAAGAGCCTGCAGTGCAAAACCAGCACATGTCAGAACCTGAGAGGATAATTTGCTCAAACATCAGAGATCCCTGCTCTGGAATCAGCAGCCTTAAAAAGCTTCCTCATTAACCCTTGCTAACCTTATATGGAAGAGCTTTTAAAAGGGAAAATTAAAAGTGGAAATTGATGGGATGGCATGTTTTTAATAGAGAAAACACTGCAGCATTACATAACAACAACTGAATAGTTACTGCACTGTGTTTTGTGCAATTCTACAAAGCATAGTATTATTAAAAAAAGAGTAACAGCTCAGCGTAATTATACCTGACAGAGTTTTGGGTCTTGGCCCCTAATATTATGAGGCAGCATTATTTCTAGAACAATGGTTCCCAAAGTGGCAACATAAAAGTAGCATGAAATAAGTAGCTGTGACATTTATTTAATACAGGATTAAAATATTATGTGCAATTAATTTATTCAATGTCCTGTTAAATAATCAAAATACGTTTAAAGGATGAATTAAATTATCAAATGCCATTAAAAATTGGAAATTGTAAAACCAAGTAATTATTATTAATTAGTGCTGCAACTAAGGATTTGTTTGAAAATAGTAGAGTATTTTTTTCGATTAATCAATTAAAAATCGGATAGCAACAGAGTCCTTGAAGATTCTTTATTAAATTAAACCAGGAGTTCAGGATAGAGCATATTAACGGACAATATATATATATATATATATATATATATTTTTTTTTTTTTTTTTTTTTTTTATATGCGAGTGTTTACATTCTTCATTTTTTTTCTTTTACAATTATGGTCTATTTACTTTCCTAAGTGGCTCTGACAGCTAAAGGCATGTTTATCAGTCTCTATACTCCAGTTAACAATAAATCCTTTACTGAAATAGTTGACCATTATTTTAATAATTGATTAATTGGGATTAATCCAATTAACTGTTTCTATTATTAATATGGAGTGAAATAAAGCATCTATTAAGCAGTCCCCATTCTGTGTCACTCTTATTTTTGGGGCCACATACTGAAACTTTTGGGAAGCCCTGCTCTTTAATAATCCAAATGAACCTTAAATAGAAAAGTCCAGCAACTAAAAATTGCACAGATTATGTGTTGCATACATCAGGGAAGAGAATTAGGGCCACTGAAAAAATAAAAAAGTTAACTGATTTTTGAATATTATTTCTGTCAGAATTCTGACTTTAATCTCAGAATTCTGACAGCCAACAACATGTTAGCATCAAGCCGTAGCCATGTCTGTTTTAGAGACTAGCTCTATTGTTTTAATCACCTTCTGCTCTTCCATTAATGAAATAGCATCACTGGGGTCTCCTCGGGCACGTAAAAAGTCGCACAATTTCATAATTTTTCACCAATGTGTTACTGGTCCTCTCAAACAACTCACATCTTTGTCAGTGAAGCTGAGTGCTCCCACATCTCTTCCTTCATGTTGCCCATCTACATTAAGATCCACAATTCTG